TTCTGTCTCTTAAAAGGAAGTTTTTCCTGCCTCTGTCGCCTAGTGCTTGCTCTTGGTGGGAACTGTTGGGCTTCTGTAAATAGCATCATAGAGTACGGTCTAGACCTGCTCTTTTATGAAAAGCGCTGTGAGATAACTGTTGTTGTGATTTGGCGCTATATAAATGAATTGAATTGAATTGAATGAAAAGCTCCAATAACCCCACTGTGCACCTGTTCAACACCAAACAGCAGACATGATCTTGGACTACAATATTGGAAAACTGTTATCTTTGAGATCCTTTGATATGGAATAAAGGACTGTTTTGCAGTATAAACCTGTGGATGTCATCCAGTTGATAAAAGCGTTCTGGACTGCTTCATAAACACCTTCCTCTGCTCAACAGGAGAGGAGGAAGCAAAATATATAATACATTACAAACATTTGTAATTTCTGTGCGTGAATTAATATATCGAGTGCACATTAAGTTTTTCCTCCATGACACCTCCCAGGCTCAAAAGAGGATTTTATGTCAGTGATGTGTTTATAGCTTGTTTCCACTACCCCCATGTTCTAGCAATTAGGATAACATTGTACTCACCAAAGTAATTGCTGAGATCTAGTAACACAGTGACATCACCTCAAAGTTAAAAGGGGCAAGAAACACGAGCATCATACAGGAAAACTACTGTACACAAGTTCAGTAAGTATAGCAGGAAGGAGTAGCACTGTGTTTACAACAGACAGTATGGGTAATATTTTACTGGTTACCTTTATTTTCTCTTCCAGATAAGTTTGTCTAAAGCAGATATGTGTTTCCGACTGATTGACTGTCTGATCATCTTAATACCCTTGTTTCTCCCCCTTTCTAACTTCTCTTTAGTAATGTCACCATGTTACCAGATCACAGCACTTAACTAGGTGACTACAATGTTATTTTTACTGAAGGGATTGGTACATCCAAGTTGTATAATAATGGAATTTTCCTTTAATACTTATTCACCATGGCTCACTAAATAGATGGCAGAGCTTCTCTAAGTAAAAAAGTAAGTGACAAGGGGGCAGTGACAGAGCAGAACAATTATGCAATCATAGTAGATGTCAAGGGTAAAATCTTCAGTCAGACCTTTGGGGTACCCAACCAGGTCAACAAGTTCTTCCTCCCAAGTCGTCAACTACTGCTGCTCAGTCTGTGGCCCTCCACTTCAATATATTCATATAACTTAATTAACATTGGATTTTACTTCAGCAATCACCACATTCAAATAAAGTACTCATGGTCGATGTGAACCAGGAATAACTTCTGCATGTAATACCTCCTATTTGTATCCAAACGTACACACACCAGGAATAATCTGAATATGAGCTTGTTAGCTGAGGACACCAGAGACACCACACAGTTGACTGAAATCCCTCCATCATTTCTGAGGCAGACGATAATGAGCGGCTGCTGTGGTCTAATCCCAGTCTAGACAGTGTCTTACCTGAGATTCATAGGGCAGAAAGGCGACGTGGATCTCAGTCAAGGCCTTCATGGCTTTGGAGGCGCGGGATTTGGTCAACAGTCCAAACAATGAGTCTGGGATCGCTGCCAAGAATCACAGAAAAACATAGTGACTGACTGAGATAATTAGTAATTAGACAAAAGTATGACAGTGTTATGTCAATATTGACTGTTATTTTCTTAAATTAGATAAAGTAGTTTGCTTTATATTGGTACAGAAAATAAGGCTGGGGGAGAAATGTTACACATAAGATCAATTTAATAGTCACAGGGAGTAAAATAGTTGTATAATGTCTTCTGTGGCTCTGGATTTTTGTCAAGTCTGAGCAAAACTGATGATGTCATTAGTTGTCTCAGTTTTAGCTGGGAGCAGGGTTTGAAAAAAATAGAAAGCCTAATTTGTTAATGTAGGGGGAGCTCTGCTGTGTCACTGGGTATTTTTCTGTAAACATTTATATTTTCCTGTATATTCAGGTTCCTACAATAAACAATACACTAATTGTAAAGTCCTTGTCAACTTGCCTGTTTATTCACGCATAACAATTTCTAATCATTTGTGTCTTATTAACATGGTGCTGTTTGCATGTTCATAAAAGTCTGGTCTGTTTAACAAAGTAACGCAAACCATTGCCAGTCCACTGCCTTGGCATTGTTATAGTTTCTTGGCAGTGAGCGATTAAAAAACATTGCAAGGTGAATAATGTCTCTGTCTGTTGTTCCAGGCTAAATATTCTCTGTTTCAATCAATATATATCGATAGTGTACTTCTGCACATATGCTGTTTTTGACATGCATCAAGGTGTAATTCGAACACTGGCTGGGAGAAAGATTTTTCACAAAAGCCTGACATACAAGTGATTCAACACATTCTCACTCCTAATTCATCACATCTGGAGGCTTGGTCAAGACTCCTTTGGCATCGTTTTTGAACACCTTGGGTAAACTTTTTGTGTCTTTTCTGGACGTGTGTGGCTCTGCTGTCAAGTTAGCAACAATGACAACATAGTAGTCATGAAATGCCTTGAAAAGGTCATTGGACATCACACCAAAACTGGCCTCCCTCCAAACTTGGACCCATTTGCTTACAGAGCAAACAGATCTACAGAGGATGCCATCGCTACTTGTCTCCACACTGCGCTGAGCCATCTGGAACACCTGGGGAGCCATGTAAGGATGCTTTTCATTGACTACAGATGGGCCTTCAATACAATCATCCCTGATATACTGGTCGACAAGCTCTCTGTTTTGGGCTTCCCCACTCTCACCTGCACCTGGATAAAGGACGTTCATGAACTGTCCAAAAACGGTTAAAATCGCCCCCCAGTTCTCCTCCATCCTCATCCTCATGTTCAGCACTGGCTCTCCACAGGGCTGTGTACTAATTCCACTCCTCCTTTTCTTGGGAGTAACACTCCTAATTTTGTTGTATATTTTTGTACAATGACAATAAAAGCTTTATATCCTCTTCTAAAAAACTAAACTTATGTAATTTATATAAGATTACTTAAATAAATTACATGGCTTGTGTAACCCACTCCACTAAAATAACTATCAATCACCTTTTCATTTCACACAGGAAAAAAAACACTGGCGTCCTGGTGCCCACCCGTCTATTCCAACCACCTCCTGACTTTTCTGTCATTTATATCCTACACCTGCTTTTATTGTTTATAAATGACGCTACAAGGCTTCCCCCAATGCTTTAACCTATGGTGCTAAGGGGCTTCCCAGTATTTTACAAAGTGACGCCAACAGGTCTTGACCATGCATACGTGATGACTTGGGAAGGAGAACCAGTCTTTAGCCCCTTTGGAAAAAATAACAAACACAAGGAGAAAACATCCATGTTCAAGGAATCCCCAGATTGACTGATAAACTTTGAGTTTGTAAATACTCCATATATATTTTGTTGCTGTTTGTTGGTACTCACTGTCTGTGAAGAAGACGTGAGCTGCCCGGTACCTAGGAGCCTGTGGGTCTCTGAAGTCATCAATCAGACCCTCAACAGACTGAAACAGAAGAGAATAATGTTTTAGCGTATGAACTGTGAATGTGAAAGGTAATGACAGTTTGGACAATTCTCCACTCTGTTCAAAAGATAGCAAAAAGTAATACTGAATAGAAACTCAGCTGTTCCTACTTTTCCTACATTTAAAAGAACAAGAACTGTAATCATATTGCCCCACCACACAAACTAACCATGAACGTTATTGGAATTTAATTTTGAAGTTTTCAAATGACAATAAAGTGGCATTTCAAGTTGCTATATAAAATTGCAAAATACAGGATGAAGAAAGCCAATGAGACATCACTGAGGGATCCAAGTACTGTACCATAGAATTCTAAACAGCTTGTACAGGACCTGTATCAATTACCTCATCTGAGGGTGTGATTAGGTAGATGGCCTCCATGCTTGGCAGAGGCTCACGCCGCTTGTTTATGTCTTCTACAACTAGAGAACACACAAAAAAAAGAAATAATCAATACTCATCCGTCAGTTCGATTAGATTAGAACTATGCTCTCCAACTTGTAGTTTGTAGGAACATCACTGCCCTCAGATTAGTCAGTGTTAAATGTTGATGCAGAATCTGCACAAACAAATGAAACTGTCCCTACCTTACAGCAAACATTATGAGGTTTTTATTCCTTGAAACACTAATGAATGTAAAAGAGCTACAGTTATCATATTAAGTTTTGAACTAGTGTTTCTTTGTTGAGTTCATTGAAAAATTAGCCTTCAAAACCATTTTAATACTTCTGTATATCAGTGCCAGTAACAGTTAAGTCAGGTCAGCATATTTTTTCCTTTTAGGAGTTTAGGAGTTGCTTGCCTTGTCTTTCACATAAATATCCTTTGAGGATCAAATGTGACATGTTATTATTTGTATGCATGTTATTATTGACAAACATATATCTTGCTATGACACCCTAAAATGAACAAAGAAGTTATATCCTGATAGCAAACTGACTCTGCACCGGATCTGCCCTGGAGATATCATGGGTAGCTCATCTAGCCAGAATCCACTTTTGACCTGTTCATTATGCAGCATATTCAGTTTGGTCCAGAGCTCTTCTGGATCCCTTATTCAAATGTGTCATCTGGCCAAAGCTAAAATCTAGCTGACCAACATCTAGATTACTCTATAAAAATGTAATATTTCTTATAACCTGTTTGCCTTTATTAATATTCATAAAACATTAAATTTATTCAAGACTTTAAAATATCTGAACCTATCCTTTAAGCCATTCTGTGTTTCTCCAGTTTAACGCCTTTCCTGTGAAGCAGCAGAAGTAGGAAAATATGGTTTGTATTAGCAATAGCTTAATACACCTCTGCTACAGCAATAAGAGAGCCATCAGTTACCAATGTGGCTCATGTCAGGTAAAATTACAAACTATTACGCTGGGGAACATAAATGTATTTCCTTTTATATTCTATGAAAAAAGCCACACCTACTGCTCACTTTGTTGAGTTTTTAGATTATCTATCAGTGCAATTTCTTATTTACTGTATCTAATTTGAGTTTATTTAACCTTATTTAATCTGAGTCTTGCACAAAAGTGAGGCTTAGCTAAAGCTGGGGATATTTGTGTAACCACTAACAACAACCGAAAACAGGATTAATAGCTTCTTAGTGAGAACCAAGAAAATATATTTGAAATGTGTTTGATATTTGTTATTTTAAATAAAGTTAGGGAAAGGACGGAGGCATGCCCAGATTTGAGCTTTCAAGCCCTTCTTCAGCCCATTCTTGGAAATAAAGCAAACTACAGGTGCATCTCAGAAATTAAGAACGTAATTTAAGTAAAAAAGTTGAACTTTTATATATTCTAGATTCATTACACATAAAGTGAAATATTTAAGGCTGTTCATTTTCATCTTGATGATTACGGTTTACAGCTCATGGAAATGAAAAATCCATATCTCAAAATATTAATAATAATATTAATAATAATGGGCAACATCATCACCCAGAAGCCTCAAGAAAGCCCAAAAGAGGAGGCACTTCCTCTGGCAACTGAGGAAGTTCAACCTGTCAAGGGCAATGATGGCAAGAGAGATTTTGGCTCACCCCTCTCACCTCCAGACACAAACTGTTTATGTCTATGTCTAGCACCTAATCACCATAGCAAATTCCTCGTATGTGTAACATACTACTTTCTGATTCTGATTAAAATCTGATGTAAATATTTAGCATATCACTGCACAAACTGCCATACTGCACATATTATTTTTTCTTCTTTTATGTGTGTGTATATATATATATATATATATATATATATATATATATATATATATATATATATATATATATATATATGTTTATTGTTATGCACCAAGTCACCAAAGCAAATTCCTTGTATGTGTAAACCTACTTGGCAATAAAACTGATTCTGATGAATATGCATAAATATTTTCTACAAATGAATCCTCCACATGTTAGTGGGATCATTTTAGCTGAACTAAATTAAATTTACCTGCACTACATTTGATTAAACTTACTTTAAAGCTACAACTGAAGTGAACTGAGGTCACCTGGATGGTTGTACTTACTAGTGATTCCCTCTGACATGATATCTGTCATCTTGCAGCACGAGGAAACCATCCTCATACTCAGCTTGTCCACCACCAGCACCTATGACACAGTCACACACAGTAGAAGGATTTCATTGTGATATCTTCAGTGATTTTATTCATATTCACATTGTCAAGATCATTGGTGAATGATGCCAAACTTGATCAGAATAGCAGGACCCCTACCTTCCATTTTCCTTTTTCTCTCGCCTTCTTGATGACATTGTTCATTATCTCTGGAAATTAGAAGACATTTTATTAACATCCAGTCAAGACATCAACATAAAAACATAAAATTATTCTCACTGGTTTAGTGTTAGACCCAGGATCACTGTTGATTTACCATCAAAAGCGTACTGTATGTATGAAAATGAAAAAGCATATGCAGATTTGATATTACACTTGATTGTAGTGAGCTAGCTTAGTTAAAGCTAATCTGGGTGTGATGGCATAGTACTGTATAAATGGATATCAATGTGAGGAGATAGCTACTCGTTTCGGTTATTTGCATTGTTTAATAGTTTTCTTAAAATAAATGTAAATATCTATTTATTTTTTAAATCCAGTTCTAATTCTGTTTTCTTTCTGCAGGTAAGTGTTAAAGTACGTGACACAAGATTGAATAAAGGAGCAACCAGACTAAGTAAGCAGCTGCCAGCTGTCTGACTCAGTGATACAGTCTGCACAATCACTGACTGCAACTGATTACTCTGAGTTACCACTACATTGTTACTACAATTGTATGGCTGAGTTTTTCCAAATGTCATTTTAAAAATGACTTCCACTGTAGATCCTAACAATACAGCCAGATTGTGCATGCAAAAACACCCTCCATGCAAGATTATTTCAACTAGCAAGCCATTTTCATGCCTTGTTGGCTGAGGTGCACAATCAGACCTCTCCAGATTCTCCAACTCTGCAATCTCCAGTTTCATAATGGACAGTGCGTAATTTTCATCATTCATTAATTATCCTCCAGTGTTAAATGACCTTCTGTACTTTGGTATGAACATATTCAAGCATAAACAAGAAGGTATTTTGTCTTCTGACTTTTTCTCTAGGTAGTAAAATAAATTCTGTCAGCTGAATTATTACAAGAGTTCTCAATTAATGTAAGTGGCCTTTCTCATAGTATTTACAGTGTCCAGTGTCAGATCCCGCCCAAAGGGCCCCACCATTTGCTGAAAAGGTCAGTGAGAGTTCTGAAATGCTAGAAAGGGGCCCTTTGAGCTTAGATATTTTTAATAAGGAAACCATTTTATGAAAAAGGGTATTGAGACAACATTATACTTATTAGTATACTTTATACTATCAAACTGCAAAGAACGCTGGAATTGTTATTGTAAGGATAATGTAAAGAGTTACATAATGTGGCAAAAGGATTTGACACGTGTGATTCTGAGTAAAGTAAGACCCTTAGTATTGCTAAAGAAAATAAAAAACTAAAATATTGTATGCTGGTAAAGTAAATTATCAAGAGTTCACCGAAAACATCTGAAGACTGATCTCTTAATGTGACAACTTTGATGAAAATAACTTTACAGACTGAACACACATGCATAATGTCGTGACACCCTGATTGTGCAAATCCTTTTACACAAGCAGCAGCAAAATAATGCGTAATATAATATATTTCTAAGTCCAGCGTTTCACGACATCCTGTCACTTGTGTCAATAAGCAGTGTCCCAGTTTCCCTTTACTGGGGTTTTAAGCTGCGCTGAACATGGAGGGACTCAGTGCTGGGAGGGACAGGCCCGCTGCAATCACTGCCTCTAATCTGCTCCCAATCCTCTTACCCCATCCACCGCTCCTCATCGCTATTTGTGGGACGTTTCTGTGTCAGCGGACATGACTTCACAGGCAAGCAGAGTCACTCACTCACACACACACACACACACACACACACACACACACACACACACACACACACACACACACAAAAACAGACAAGCACTCATCCTCCAAAATAAGTTAACGTAATGTCCTGTTTCCACAGAGGGCCAGGGTGACATTTCATTTGAAGAGCTGCTCCAAAGGTGTCATAGGCACATTATCAACAGTGGGGCTAATGACAATAGTTGTGAATTATATAATATTACATTTGAGATAATGATCTGTTTGTCAAAGTCTTAAGGAGAAGTTCATATGATTTATCACAAAACATTTCCATAATATATTTCCAATCCCTGACTCGCCAGTCAGTCTGCTGTCTGAGGAAAACTAGTAATGATGGTAAATGATGTAAGCATTATGTGAATGGTCCTGTTTATCAAATTAGTCAACAGGATTAAGTGGAAGTGTCTGTGACATAGTGGGACACCACCTGACATGCAGCTTTCACAGGCGGGATAAACAACAACAGGCTGCTGCTTCAGCAACAGATAGATCTGTCTAATCCAGGTTTACAATGTATTTCATCACAGTAACTAGTTGTAACTATGTAAGGAAGCAGCTCCTCTACTCTGCCAAATACTATGTCTACTCAGCACCATACTGTAGGAAAAGCAGACACGGTGGAATAGGACATTGTACTGTCCATGAGTACAATACTGTCCATCTGACTGTAACATTTCCAACCCTGCCAAAAGCTCTGCTGTGTCCATGTTGTATGAAAAAACAGCAACACAATTTAACTTATTTACAAAGCCACTTAGTCCTAAACTGACAACAGTGATTTATGTATTTATGTGTGCTTAAAATGATCACAGTCAGTGTTGATCACTAGTGGACTGGCCTGAGGTCCGTTTTAGCATGCAATTAATTGCCATGACCAGCATCAGTGACAGTATAGCAAGCTATTTTTAATATATATAGCAAGCAGGAGAATCCACACATCAGACGCGTCTCAAGGCTATAGGCTAAAGAATTATTGCTGTTTGCTTGACGTTTCTTTACTTTTATTGTTGTAGCTTATGTTCAAGTTCTGTGAACGTGTGTAGTTTTTCTAAAGCATTTGATTTGATTGAGGCTTGAACATAAAGATCATTTGAACAAACTCTTTCTCTTTTTAAAAATGTAAAAAATTATGTATTTCTAGGGAGTTTGTGAGGGTGCACCCATAATCATAGCATACGTTGAAAACTCATTGTCAGATAGGCTACTTTAATGGCCTGGTTTGTATTTTGTAATCTGGATAACTTTCTTCCCAGATGAACATAGTGGCCAAATATAGACCTAGTTTGGTACCCATAACATCAACAAATAGAGTTAGTCTACAACATTAACTGTCTGGTGGATTGTGTGAACGGGAATGAAGTCAAACTCCCAGCCTGAATTATTGGCCGTTAATCGGAAGGTCTGCGGTTCAATCCCCGGCTCCTCCAGGCTGCATGTCAAGTGTCTTTGGGCTAGATTCTGAACGATGGCTGTTCCACCAGTGTAAAAGTGCCTTACTAGTCACACACTGAGCCTAAGTGCTCAAACAGAAACTAACATTCATACACTGGCCGAAGAGCCATTCAGGTTCAGTATCTTGCCCAAGGACACTTCAACATGCAGCCTGGGGTAGCAGGGATTGAACCACCAACCTTCTGATTAACGGGCAACCCGCTCTACCTCGCGAGCCACAGCCACCCCGAATGTTTGAGCACTTAGGCTCAGTGAATGAATGTGTGTGAATGGTGAATGCAGATGTAGTGTAAAAGCGCTTTGAGTGGTCAAAAAGACTAGGCGCTTTACAAATATGAGCATTTAATGTAAAAAGGTGTTAGTTGTAGTGATGAACTCACTGAGAGTTGTCACCAATTCTGTATATCAATGATATAGAATGTCTGTAAACTACCTGTCCAGCACCAAACACATTAAGTCAGTGACTAACACACTGGTGAACATAGTGGAGCTAAAGAACCATTTTTCTCAGCAGACCAAACCTGAACTATAAGGAGAGCGAATATTGGACATGAAAACAGTTGCCTGCTTCTGTCGGAAACCAGGTTGGTGCTTTAACATAAAGGCATCTGTACAGAAGGTGTGACGGACTGTGACATTAAATGTAGCCTTCACACATTGTTAGCTCAAGCTATCAAGTTATGGAATCAACATTCACTCATAATGACAGATGTGGCTTAAAAAAGTAAAGCATCTGCAAACAGATTACTCTCAGTTTAGCGCATTTAAATTTTTTAAAATGCTTTGTGAATAAGAAATGTTTTGCAGCAGCTTTTTCAACTCACCTGCAACAAAGCTTGATTAGCAACCAGGCAAAGTAAGTAAGTGGTAATTTGATAAGTTGCTAATAAGTTTGAGAATATACACTCAATCACAGCCTTAATGCTGCAGTAGAGAATTATTTTTAAAATGACTTTTAACGATACTTCAATGAGGCTTATGAATTTAAGAAACCTCCTAGCAAACCTTTGTATATTATAATCAAAGTGTCATGAAGTAGTCAGATATAGTTAGCTTATTGCCATTTCTACTGTTCTGCATGCTGGAGGATAGCCACTGCATGAAAATGAATAATTCTGCAGTGAACCTGGCTCACTTCCTTTACTGTAAAACGCAGATGGCAGATCAGGTCAGAGATGCAGAGGGCACAAAGCTTTAACTGTGAAGAAAGCTACAGTAAGCGAGCCTGATCTGCATCTGGATGAGAGTAAGTGAAGCATGAGTTCAGGGGATGGCTGGGGTTGTGTGCTATGGTTTGTTCCATCCATCCATCCATCCATCCATCCATCCATCGTCAACCACTTATCCTGCGTACAGGGGCGTGGGGGGCTGAGATCGGGCGAAAGGCAGGGTACACCCTGGACAGGTCGCCAGTCCATCGCAGGGCCACACATAGACAAACACCCCGGAAAGAACCCACGCAGACACGGGGAGAACAAAAACTCCACACAGAAAGGCCAGGGCAACCGTGGGTTTGAATCCTTGACCTTCTTGCTGTGAGGTGACAGTGCTAACCACTGCTCCACCATGCCGCCCCCTATGGTATGTTCATTGAATATATTACTTTTTATTACTAAATAATTTATTAATGCTTTTTTAAATTTATTAATTTAAAATATTTATATATTTTTAATCCCTTTGACCCAACTACCCTCCAGGAGTGAATATCAGCAGACTATTAACATTAATAAATGTATTATAACCAAACAGAAAGGAAAACACCAGCCAAAACATATTCTTTTTAACGTCCTATAACTGAAAATAAGTCATCCATAAAGTATTAGAATAGATAATGAATCATTATTAACCCCTAATAAAGCCATTAGTTATACTTTGTTGACCCTTAAAATTATACTAAAATGGAGAAGTGTAGGATTAAATCATTCCTAATGTAAAGATCTATTCACTGTAGTGAAATTTTAAAAAAATTCAGCGTGCGCATCTTAAATCTAAAGAGAGCTTGACGGTCAGCGTGAGACCAAACAGCACCGATGCGTGTTAAACGCATTAAAATAATGACTAGCCTACCTAATGCTTGATACTGGTCTACACTGTACTGATGTCGATATACATCTGACAGTAGACACAAACACTCGGTTAACTGTTACCGACGCTGAGAGTCGGATCTTTCCTCCTGCACCCTCTGTCAAAGCACCTAATCCGCACAGACAAAGATTAGCGAGCAGGATTTGCAGGACTCCGTGCTCTTACACTTCAGACAAACGGCAATAACGGCTCAATAAACGACATAAACTTCCGTCCGGCTAACAGGACACCACCGGAGAATTTTAAATTTTAATAATGCATCTCACTGACAGTGCAATCTGGAGAATTAACCGTTTGGCGAGCTGCACTGCTCTGGTGTGGCTGTGCGTATTTTGCGCGTCGAACGCAAACCACAGTAAAAACCCACAGTAAACCCACAGTAAAAACAATTGTCACCGGGCGCTGCATTGTCCTACATTACCATAAATAAAGTTATATAATGTCACGAGCGCTGGAATCTTAGATTGAATGTTTGGTAACTGAGATTGCCCTTCATGCCTATCCAATACTTTACATTGTTTGAAATAATAATAATTAAACCAGCTGTGTCAACATTTTGGAATAACAAAAGTAAAAAATATTATTACAGCTAAATTAAACAGTACTTACTTTCTCCAACAATGGCTTTTAGTCCAAGTGGTGCCATGATGAGCCCTCTGCTGCGCGTCCACCTCTCCACAGAAAGCTGACGGGCGCTACCACCACCACTGTCAAGCTGATTAGAATAAGCAACACACTTCCGTTCCAATTAAATACAAAATAAAAGCCTAAATTTGAAACGTAGAAGGCATCAGTACCACTGATAAAATAAGTAAACAATATTAAAATAAACAAATATAAATATTAAATAGCACAAAATTTGAGTGTTTCTACAAGGAGCTTCTGACTTCTCTGGCTGACCACTGACTGCTGATCAATCACTTTGACACCTTGAATCCATTCCAGTAAGTCAGCACTTACCACAAACCATTCAGTACCTTAAGATCTTTTCTGGTTCACCCCAAATACAAGACTACCCCTGAAAGGATGTATGACATTATCACGCCATCATATGTAACATATGTGGGGACGACTGTTTAGTCATACACCTCATAGCCGCATCTTAACATTAAATGTTCAAAATACTTATATTAAATAGAAACACCATATGAAAATAGATTTGACCCAAACGCAGATGAAACAGGCAGACTGATGCAGTTCAGTGATTTATTGCAAAACTGAGCTTACATGCAGGTAGGCTGCGAAGGCGGTAATGGCACCTTAACCCCTATGCTCATCAAGGTATGAATGTGTATGAATGGGGTGATTTTGATGTCAGAAAGACAAGAAAGGCATTGTACAAGTTTAGACCTTTTACTTCTGTCTGGAGGTTTATTAGACTAATAATCCGAGTAACAGTTCGTGATAGGTTTTTATAACACATGAAAAAAGAAACTGGCCTATGTATGTGAAGTATTTTGGATTTGACAGCACAAATCCAGGGTGTGGAGATTTGCCATATAAAGCATAGAGCCAAATCTGCACATTAGTATGTAGATAAATACAACTGCTACAAGATGTGCACATGCAAATCTGACATGGTGAATTTTTATTCACCATGTGAGAATTTTTATTTTATTTTGTCTTGAAACACTACTAATAAGCATGATTTACATGTAATCCCAGTTTTACAGTGAGGAATTGAAAAATAAGAAATGAATGTTTTAAACAGCTGTTTCTTGTGTACTGTTTCTATTTTTGTTTTAAACTGATTGGTATGTTTTCAGATTAATCTGTCTTGACGGCAAGCACTGGAGCCATGTTAATCAAGTTGGGAAATCATGCGGAGCATTGTGCCACAGTTACTGGACCAAGGTCAAATTCAGTTCATTGCTAACTGATTCTACAGTACTTTTATTATATTTTGTTCCTCTTTCTTTACATCCCTCTGTAACTTTAATTTCCCCTACAGGGAATTAATAAAGGAATATCTTATCTGTAATATCTTACCTTATATATATATGGATAAAAAAATTTAAAAAATCCCCCTATCACTCCTTGCGGGGTGGTATGTGTCATCCTCAAGCTCGGGTCCTCTACCAGAGGCCTGGGAGTTTGAGGGTTCTGCACAGTATCTTAGCTGTTCCTAGGACTGCACTCTTCTGGACAGAGACCTCTTTACCTGGAATCTGCTGTAGCCACTCTCCCAGTTTGGGAGTCACAGCCCCCTGTGCTCCGATTATCACTGGCACCACTGTTGCTCTTACTTTCTACATGTTTTCTAGCTCTTCTTTCAGCCCTTGGTATTTCTCAAGCTTCTTGTGTTCCTTCTTCTTGATGTTGCTGTCGCTTGGGATTTCCACATCTATCCCTGCAGCCTTCTTCTGCTGTTTGTCAATCAACACTATGTCTGGTTGGTTAGCCATCACCAGTTTGTCAGTCTGGATCTTGAAGTCCCACAGGATCTTAGCTCGGTCATCCTCAACTACCTTAGGAGGTGTCTTCCATTTTGACCTTGGGACTTCCAGCCCATACTCATGGCAGATGTTCCTGTACACTATGCCAGCTACCTGGTTATGGCGCTCCATGTACGCACTTCCTGCCTGCATCTTACACCCTGCTGTTATGTGCTGTACTGTCTCAGGGGCATCCTTGCACAGTCCGCACCTGGGGTCCTGCCTGGTGTGGTAGACCCCAGCCTCTATTGATCTTGTACTGAGTGCCTGTTTTTGTGCCGCCATGATTAGCGCTTCTGTGCTGTCCTTCAGTCCAGCTTTTTCCAGCCACTGGTAGGATTTCTTGATATCAGCCACTTCTTCTATTTGTCTGTGGTACATGCCGTGCAGCGGCTTGTCCCTCCATGAAGGTTCTTCATCTTTCTTGTCCTCACCCTCGGGTTTCTGCTGCCTGAGGTACTCACTAAGCCTTCATCTTTGGGGGCCATCTTCCTGATGTACTCCTGGATCTTTGTTGTTTCATCTGATTGGTATGTTTTCAGATTAATCGCTCTATGCATTGTGAGGAGCTTTCTCGTCTTGATATCAGTAGCCTCTATCTCCTCCTTTGCCAGTTTATTATACCCGCGGGGTATCTGATGACTGGCGTATGTGTTGATGGCTCGGATCTTGTTTTTCCCATTTAGCTGACTTTTCAGGACCTGCCTTACTCTCTGTAGGTATTTGGCTGTGGCGGACTTCCTTGCTGCCTCCTCATAGTTTCCGTTAGCCTGCGGCACCCCAAGGTATTTGTAGCTGTCCTGAACATCTGCAATGTGGCCTTCTGGTAGTTCAATCCCCTCGGTTCTGATCATCTTCCCTCTTTTTGATACCATGCGACCACACTTGTCCAGTCCGAACGACATTCCAGTGTCGTTGCTGTAGATCCTGGTAGTGTGGATCAGTGAGTCGATGTCTCGCACATTTCTGGCATACAGCTTGATGTCATCCATGTAGAGGAGGTGACTGATGGTTGTTCCACTTCGGAACCGGTATCCGTAGCCAGTCTTTGTGATGATCTGGATGAGGGGGTTCAGGCCTATGCAGAACAGCAGTGGGGATAGTGCATCGCCTTGGTATATGCTGCACTTGATGGTGACTTGTGCATTTGGCTTTGAGTTGACTTCCAGACTTGTTTTCCACAGCCCCATTGAGTTCTTGATGAAGGCTATTAGTGTCTTGTTGATCTTGTACATTTCCAAGCATTCTAGTATCCATGTATGGATGGGAACTGTTGGGCTTCTGTAAATATCATCACAGAGTATGGTCTAGACCTGCTCTTTTATGAAAAGCGCTGTGAGATAACTTTTGTTGTGATTTGGCGCTATATAAATAAAACTGAATTGAATTGAATTGTATGTGGCAGTGAGTCGTAGGCTTTCTTGTAGTCAATCCAGGCGGTGCACAGATTGGTCTGCCTGGTCTTGCAGCATCGAGTGACTGCTCTATCAACCAGTAGCTGGTGCTTGGCTCCCCTGGTATTACTTCCCATTTCCTTCTGGGCCCTATCCATGTATTGAGCCATGTGCCTACTCATCTCCTGTCATCGCTATGATGCCTGATGATGCTTCCATGTTGTGCAGAGGCAGGTTATTGGCCGGTAGTTGGATGGGATTGTTCCTTCTGGGGATTCTTCATGATCAGGACTGTCCGTCCTTGTGATGGGTAAGCTGAGTGCAGACTGAGGTGTGGACCCAAATGCAGACAATACGAACAGGCTTCCACAGGAGATTGAGGCAAGAGTCCAAACAAAGGCATTTCAAACACAAACATAATCCACAGTCAAATCCACAAACAAGGAACAAAGTACTATCCAAAGGTAAGATCCAAAAACACAGAGAACAAAGCACAGGAGAACACTCAACAACAAAGACTGAAGACACAAGCAGGCATATATATACACAGAGACTAACGAGCAGGGCGGGAGCAACACAGGTGAGGGGGATCAGGACTAATGAGTCACAGGCAGGCAGAGAGACAGCAGGGGAAACAGACAGACACCAATAAAGCCATAGGAAAATTAATAACCAGGAAGAAACAGAATATAAATAACTGAACCAGAACATAGGCAGACAGATCACTAATATACCAAAAAATACAACTAACAGGGAAAACAGACTAAGATTGAACAGAACACAGAGCAAACATGGACAAAATAATACAGAAGTACACAGACCAGGAGTAGACACTAAGACACGAATACAAATGCAGGACATAACTAGAATACGAGACAAGACAGATACTAAGAAAACTTAAACATGCGAATGAACAAAGGACTAAACATAGCTACAAAACCCTAAACATGACAAGATCAAATAAAGCTGTAGAAACACAGAATCCAAAATCAAACCCATGAAAACAGATACCAAGTAAACTAGGACATGTGAATGAATAAAATAATAAACAAGGCTACACTGAGAAACACAGAACCAAAAACAGACTAAAACAGGAAAGACGTGAAAACAAAACCACACTCCTAACAGTCCTTGGGTTAACCCTTCTGGGTGGGTCCCATCCATCAGCAGTTGGTTCATTTGTGCTGCCAGGCATTCATGGAGTGCAGTTAGTTTCTTCAGCTGGTAGGTGTGGATCATGTCAGGGCTTGGTGCTGTCCAGCTCTTCATATCTGCCACTATTTCTTGGATGTCTGCCGTTGTAATGGTTACTGTATCTTGTTCTGGGAGATTGCCGTGAGTTGTTCTTAGATCCACTACCCACTGTGCATTGGTCTTGTGGGATGCCTCTTTCTCCATATGTTCTTCCAGTACTGTTCAGTCTCAGCCCTGGGTGGATCTGATCTTGTGTTATTACCCTGCCACTGAAAGTACACTTTGGATGGTTCGGTGGAGAACATCCGGTTTATTCTCCTGGCTTCTTCTTCTCCCTTGTATCTCTTTAGGCAGGTAGCCAGAGCGGTAAGTCTTTGTTTGGCAGTCTGCAGATATTGACAGGTATCGACAGCTTGCTGTATTTCTTAGGTAGCCCCTTCCTTGCAACTTTCTTTAGCTCTGACAGCTGACTAACCTCTATTTGTGTTGCCTTGATCTTGGCCTCTAGCCTTCTCCTCCATGGGGGGTAATGCTCTTTGTGGCTTGTGGTGTTCATCTTATAGCCAAGCATCTCTAGGATCAGTGTTGATAATGGGTTTCGAAGCATCCATATATCCCACAGTCTCTGCATATAACCCCTCTCACCGGGATTGCTTGTATAGTAGCATTGCATCAGATCCATA